TGAATGTGAGTTTACTTTGCGAGAAATGGTCTGTGTACAAGGCGGGCACGTGGGGTCTTGCTGTCACACCACTGCGCTGGGGGTCCCCGCCGTCGCTCTGTTAAGAGGTGGTTGCGAAGGAGCAGAAAGGCTTGTGCAACTTCCTTTTAGGATTCTTAAAATATATATATATTTTACTGATTTTTTACAGAGAGAAAGAGAGAGGGATAGAGAGTTAGAAACATCGATGAGAGAGAAACATCCATCAGCTGCCTCTTGCACACCCCCTTCTGGGGATGTGCCCGCAACCAAGGTACATGCTCTTGACCAGAATCCAACCTGGGACCTTCCAGTCCGCAGGCCGACGCTCTATCCACTGAGCCACACCGGTTTCGGCTCCCTTTAGGAATTTTGTTCTAGATTATAACTTAGCATGTTCCCATCCTGGGGGAACTGAAGTTTCATTTCATAAGCTCATCTGATCTTTCATTACCCGGAGTTGTTTTCAAGTAACAGATGCAAGAAGAACACTCTAAATGACCCATCCGTTTTCTAACGGGAATTAGGATGGGGAGAACTGGATCAGTGGATCCACTAGGACAGGTGAGACAGACCCCAGGGTGTAGACAACCCGAATCAGGAGCCCCGTGGCGGCTCCATGGGGTCCTGACTCTGCCTCGTCCCCATTCTCAGTGCGGCCGGGCTAACATTTGACTTCTGACAAGACAGGAAACCCTGGGCAGCCCTTGTTAGGAAGCAGGACGGCAGAAAGGGGGTCCCCTATCCCCATTCCTCTCGTTTCCCCAAGTCTGGCTAACCAAGAGGCCCCAGCTCACCGAGAGATGTCCTTTCCCACTGTCCTAGTCCTGGAGAGACCAGCCAGCGCCCGCACTTGACCCAGGATCTCTGAGCTCGAAGGAACAGCTCTGCTAGACGGCGCCACACCACAGCCCGCGCTGGGACGGCCGGGGGCTCGGCCAGACCATGAAAAGTCAGTCTCTTGGCTACACAATGTTTGTTCCACAATCAGCACATGATTGTCACAATATCAGATGCCACGGGTTTTATGAAGATGGATTTTCGGGTTCTACTTTTCTCCATAAAACGGCTTTACAGAAGATGATACCTGGCGCCTCTCAAAGGCACAGTAAGCGAAATAGGGGGCAGCCTGGCGTCGGGTTAAGGACGACTCTTTGCTTGTAAAGAAGTCCTAGGAGTTAGTAACGAAACTCAAAATGCATGTCCAAAGAGTCATGTCGAAAAACATGCCACAAACTAGGGAAGAAATACTGGCCACCATTGTGATGCCTTAGCCTTCATACAGACCTCTTTTAAGTAAATAGGAAACTCAGATGTATATAGGCACAAGAGACATGAAGACATGTGTGAGTGTGACTAGTTATGTGCATATAAGCAATGAAAAAGAATAGGACATTATACAGCTAATAAAAATCCTGTTTTCAGATTTTAATTACATGGTGAAAAGCTCATTATCCAGCTGGATAGCACTCGAGATTGTGACCCCAATTGTGCATCTTTAATGTGTATATTTAGGCACACGGGGTAAAATACTGAAAGGAAATAGATCCAAATGAGGTTAGATCTGTGTGTAGTGAGAGTAAAGGTGATTTTTTTTTCTTCTTGATACTTTTCTGCATTTTCAGACTGAAAAAAAGGAATGTGTGTTTTAATCAGAAAACAAAACCAACATTAAAACAAAATTGGTCTCTTCATTAAAGTTTGGCTCCTCCTTTAAAAATTAAAATTCATGTTTTAGAATGGGAAAACATTAAACAAAAAATGTTTATCAAAGATCTTAAATAAATAAATAAATAAATAAATAAATAAATAAGAAGAGCCTGGCTGGTGTGGCTCAGCTGGTTGAGGGTCATACTGGGCACCCTAAGGTCACCAGTTCGATTCCCAGGTCAGGGCACATGCCCAGGTTTGGGGCTCAATCCCTGGTAGGGGGCATGCATGAGGCAACCAATTGGGTCTTTCTCTCACACATTGATGTTTCTCTCTTTCACTCACTCACTTTCTCTCTAAAGTCAATAAAAAGCATTTACATAAATTTATACGTGTATATATTTTTAAAATAAATATTTCATTCTGCCTTTCTTAGACAGTGGCTGGGAAACTCGGGAAAGAGGCTTTGGAATCTTACAAACAACTCTTTTTACTTGCGAACACTCCCACGCTTGCTCTTCTGGTAAAGCCCTTTGGGTTGGTGAACTGGATGAGTCCTGACCGCTTCTTACCATGAGCATCTTTGATGACCCGGCCCCACTGCCTACAGCGCTTCTTCCTCCTCTAACACCTGCTGGTACAGGTGTGTTCCTGACATCCAGTTCATCAGCCTCCTGCCCGTCTTAAGTGAACAGGGAGCTCTGCCCTCTTCTCCCACCAGCACTTTTTCATTAAATCATTGGTCTGGCCATTTAAAACACCTCTCTAGCTATTCACGTAAAGAGCCAGCATTACCTTTCAAAGCATTTTAAGACACTAGTTCTTACCTCCCTTACTGGAGGATTATTTTTATGGATTGTTCAGTGGAATATTTCAATATAGAATTTTGATGGGAGAACCTGGCTCCTTAGCTCTTACCTAGCAGTGTGTTAAAATAATTATGAGCTGAAATTCCACAGGAGAATACAGTCGAACTTCATAGCAGGAGAAGACCTTAGAAATAATTGAATCCAACTCTCTTTATTTTACAGACGAGGATGGAAGACAGAGAGGTTAAAACCCAAGATGAACCCCATTTCATAACAATCTTCTTCTTCCTGTGGTCTTTTTAATACATTCTCCTTAGAATAAGTTCCTAAACTTTGGAGTGGCATTGGGCATTATTGGCAGATGTTATAGTTTTGGGGTTGCAAACAGAATCTACACCGTTGTGAAATGCATACATGAAATTCAAGGTTTAGCCAGAAGTTCAGTGTCACAGGAGCCCCACTACAGCCTGAGAACATATGGTCCCACCCTGGGGAAGGGGTGTTCTCATTTTTCTCCAGAAAATTCTCAGTTGTGCACGGTCTCAGATTCTCTTTTTTAACCTCAGACTTTTGGCTGAGAAAACCCTTTTCTATCAGTATTATTTTTATAAAAATCTGTGTTATAGCGTTTTGCTTTGATCTTTATTTATGAATGCTTTTGGCCTTTATTTGGAATACCTAAATTTAATTTTTATGCTAAAGGAGGACTATGAGAAAATATGGGTTGGGAAGAAAAATCGATTCACTATATAGTGTTGTTGTTAAAGGCATAACTAAAGAATTTCTGCAGGAGGGGAGGGAGCAATCTGCTCTCCTGGCTAGTAAAATGAAGATGTCACAGCAGCTGCAGAGTATTGGTTTCACTGCTGGAATTCATTTTGATACAGTGGATTTTTATTATTTTTTTAACTTCCCCCAAGGTTTTTGTTGTTTTGTGTTTTTTTTAAATAGCAGGTGTGACTTTTAACCTTGCAAACTGAAATTGTACAATAGCGAGTAATTTTGAAAGGGCAGAATAATCCAAAATATGTGGGAAATGAATCGAAGAAAGATTAGTAATCTTCCCATGTAATTTTGAGCTCAAATAATAGCTCTTACATTGAACAGAATAGAGACATTTTGTTATACTAAAAATTGAGAACTGGCAGATGGTAGAGGAGAAGATAATTGGCAAGTTTATAAATTATCATTGTGTTTATACTTTCAATCTCTGGCCTAATTGATGGAGGCCTTGTCTTATTCATAAAATAGATAACTTAAACCTATTTTCAGAAATGCAAATATATCTTCACCCGATGTTATAATTAATATATATACTCTTATTTATATAATTTGTACAGTTGGTAATGAAAATGCAGAACATTTTACAATTTATAGATAAGACCCATAAAGCTTTGAAAGTGGAGAAAAGTGTGTGTATTTCTTATTTTACTAAAATTAATGAAAATTAATTGTTGACTAAGCCCCCAAAATGTACTTGTAAAACTAATCGTTTGGACGACTTGTAATCCGAATAGTCACGAAATTCACTTCCGTAGCCACTGCCACTATTTTTAATTCATTATGTAAGTATGCATTAAATGTAGCTTTCAGCATTTCTAATTGTATTTGAGGTACCTCATTATAGGTAAATATTAAACAACAGTGAGTGTGGAAATGTGTTATATAATAATAAAATTATAATTCACTTCAGGCTTATGCAAATAAAAACTCATAGAAACAAACAAATAAATCCAACTTCTGTTATAGAAAGGAAATGAGTGTGAAAAACCACCCCGCAGCTTTTATCAGACAGGTATTAAAAGTTGCGAGTGGGAAGATCTCACAGATGGAGGAAGACTTCATGTGAGGGGGGAAAGTGTGCCGTGGGTTCCCGCCTGCCTGCTCTCTCCGACGTTTTCTGGAGATGTGCTGGGGGGGAAGGGGAGATAGATAACAGGGCGAATCAAAGGGACTCCGTGTCTTACCTGCAGTTGCGGTTTGGGCGTTTCAAACATCGGCTTGTCACGTCCATTAGTATAAAAACTTCAAAAGGATCCAGTGTTTTCCCAGGAGGGGCCTATGGGGGAACCTCCATTTTTCTTTCTCAATCGATGTCGACGATCTCCACTTAGGGTCTCACGTGGAACATAAAATAAAGTGGTTACTCAAGCAGAAAGAATGCGATGAATCCCTAGCGTCTGTCTCTGAGGAGTGAACTAGTCACAGATCCATGAATTTCTCAGCAAAAAAAAAAAAAAAAAAAAGCAACAGGAAGATAGCAGTGCCACATAGGAAGAAATAGAATATTTACATTTGTTACAACCCAGAACGTGTGTAATAAAATGTTCCTTTGCAGATGCAGATCTTAAAACCTGACCCAGTGGTTCTGAGGATCACTTTTGACTTAGAGATAGCAAATCCCTGTTGCCCCCAGGATTTTTCTAGAAGCAGAGAGGAGTGAAATGCTGACTACAGACATTAAGCCTTTATGCCGTGGTGCTTTGTTTCTGATGGTTTTTCCTTTGCTTTTTTCTTTTTCAGACCATCCAGACCTTTCAAGCTACCAAAAAGGTAAAGTAACCGGATCATTTTATTAAACAGCGATCTTGCCTGCATGCTGTTCCCTCCTCGTATTTTCTCCATGTTTTGCTGCTGCCTCCATCTTCCTCACTCATAGCTTTTCCAAGGAGAAGGTCTAAGTCTGTCTAAAATCAGAACAGGCCTGTGATCTGTAGATATGCCGAACATACATAGTGAAAGGGGTGGTCCTTTTTTAAAATACTTTTTTATTGATTTCAGAGAGAGGGAGGGAGAGGGCGAGAGATAGGAAATCAGTGATGAGAGAGAATCATTGATCGGCTGCCTTCTGGGGATCGAGTCTGCAACCTGGGCATGTGCCCTGACCGAGAATCGAACCAGCCACCTTTCGGTTCCTGGGTCAGCACTCAACCACTGAGCCCCACCGGCCGTGCAGGAGTGGTCGTTTTTGACACTTCTTCCATTGGTCCCCGTTCCAAAGAAAACAATGTTCAAGTGCCTTATTCTTTCAACTAGGTCAGAATATATTCCTGGAACTGGGACTTGCCAGGAGTGGAATTAGCGAGAGTGCAGAGCAGTGAGATTTCCCAGGCCCTTTCAGTTTCCTTCCTGTCCCCACTCTCCCTGCTTTCCTGGGTTTGCATCTCCATGTCACAGCCCCTGTCTGGTTGCACAGCGTGCACGGCACCTGTGTTCTTGCGTGGTGCCCGGGGCTCAGCCTAGGGAGCCGGAGGCACAGAAACACCCCCAGCCACAGCGTGGTCCTTGGGAGGCATCCCCACGCTGCGGGTGCTGACTGCCTCTCTCACGTGGGCACAGCTCACCCGGCAAGGTTGGCTCCCGACACCTCTGGGTGAGGAGGAGGGTTGTGATGGAGTCAGGTGAAGCGCGGGAAAGGAGCTTGCTGACACCGTAATGCCGTCTGTAGGCAGCACACATGTGTCTGGGTAGCGGCGCTGCCAAATCAAAACCAAATGCTTTCAAGGGAGGGGGTCTGAAGGTGGCTGCGCATGTGCATGCAGCGTTTCGGAGAACACACAACACACAAAGCCCTTACAGGGGTGATGCAAACCGCAGCAGGAAAGCTAAGCCATCGGCCCGCTGCCCTCTATGGATAACACGCTTGGAAGTGAAAGTGAGCAGCTTCTGGCTCATTTGAAAGAAAATGGATCCATTTAACGTCGTGAGTCAAGATGGGAGCCCGGGGCATTTTCGGTTTGCAGGGCTGATCTTTTAAAGGTCTGGCGTGTGAGCGCCTCTGTGCAGTCTGGAGTGAGAAAGAGAAAGCCTCACTGAGGACTTGACTGCTTTAGAACCTTTTCTTGCACCTGAGTTTGCGTTCGGTGGGGGAGGAAATAAAGTATGAAGAATAGGAGCGCTGGGTGTGTTCCCTTACGTTTGAACCATCACCACCGGCCTATTGTGGCTTACAGCTTCTCCTGACATTCAGAGTTATTCTTAAAAGGTCATCCCATCTTATCTGGCGGAATTTTCCCTTGATGAGTGAGTAATTGCCAGACTTGAAGTCATGCGGATCGAGGTGGTGTAGCCTGGAGAAATGAGCTGTGAGTGCAGCTTAGGAATTTAATTTAAAATGTGCATTGGGGAAGAGGCTGACTTATTCCAGATGGTTTTTGCCTCTCTTGTGTTTGAAACAGAGATGATATCATAGTGGTTAAGAGGCCAGATTCTAGAACTAGACTACCTGGATTCCAAGCTTTGGGACTTTTCATTGAGATATAATTGACGTAATATTATATTAGTTTTAGGCGTACAACTTAATGATTCAGTATTCTATATATTGCAAAAGGATTACCACAGTGAATTTAGTTAAGTCAGTCACCACACAGGTTTTTTTTTTCTTGCGATGAGAACTTTGCAATTGGCAAATATGCAATACAATGTGATTAACTCGAGTCTCCATGCTGTGCATTACATTCTGTTATTTATTTTATAGCAGGCTGCACCTTGGTTTCATCTCATAAGCTGTGAGAATTAAATGAGATGCTAATCTATATAAAGGAACTCCTTGTAAGTGCAAGCTAGCATGCTTTATTTTCCTAAGATTACTTTTAAAAGAATAACAATGAAAAATACCTCTGCGCCCATGGGCGCCCATCGGCTCAGTGATTGAGCATTGATCTGTGAACCAGGGGGACACCATTCAATTCCCAGTCAGGGCACATATCCAGGTTGTAGACTCCATCCCTGTCGGGGGTGAGAAGGGGTGGAGGATATACAGGAGGCAGCCGATCAATGATTCTTATCATTGATGTTTCTATCTCTCTCTCTCCCTCTCCCTTCCTCTCTGAAATCAATAAAAATGTAATTTAAAAACACAACACTGCAAATGCTCCCTTAAAGCGTAATTGTTATATTTTAATTTTCTTATTAAAATGTAGTTGGAAGCAAATATCCCCACAAAGCCAGATCTGTGAAGCTGCGAGAGTAGGGAGTAAACATCAACAATCTATTCTTAAAGACACAGGGCAGTTTTTTTTCCAGAATGGCATTTACAGCTGGGCTTTGTTCACACAGTAGCGTCTAGCCTGATGTTGGAGAAGCCATTCACAAATACATGAGAAAGAAGCCGGTTTCAGCCCTGGCTGGTGTGGCTCAGTGGATAGAGCATCGGCCTGTGGACTGAAGGGTCCCAGGTTCAATCCTGATGAAGGGCACATGCCCGGGTAATGGGCTCGATCCTCAGAAGGGGGCATGCAGGAGGCAGCCGATCAATGATTCTCTCTCATCGTTGATGTTTCTATTTCTCTCTTCCTTTCCTTCTCCCTCCCTCTCTGAAATAAATAATAAACAAACAAACAAACAAATAAATAAAATTAAATTAAAAAAAAAGCCGGTTTCAGATGAGCCAGAAATGGCCATCACAGCAGCCCAGTGAGCTAGCACGGATGCGAACTTGAGAGTCATTGTTCACAACTTAAACATTTCTTTCTTCTGTAATAAAACTTCAAGACACTGGGAGTTGGCAAGACAGATTTTGCATTTTAGCAGAAGTTCAGTATAGTTAGGGTCAAGGTCTTAAGGCGTGGCCCAGGAATGCGGGAGGGGCACAGAGGTAGGTGTTTGGGTCAGAGGAGATGAAGGAGGGCGTGGAAAGGTGTCCGGAGGAGATGGCTTGGTGGTGGCATTGGGTGGCAGAGAGGGGTTTCCGGGGCGTGGTGAGAGACGAAAGCCAGGCGGTAGTGGTTGGACAGTGGTTGTTCATCTAATCAATAGGTAGCTATTGAACACCTTTGAAAAGATACTGTTCTCGGCTCTGATCCTGCAGTAATAAACTCATAAAGCACAAATCTGTGCCGCATGGAGCTCACAGACCAGTGGGCATCTTCATTAAGGACAGTTGCCTGTTCAGGGATTCTTTGGTTTGGTTCGGCTGTTTTAAAAATAGACACTCTAGGCCGAAACCGGTGTGGCTCAGTGGTAGAGCGTCGGTCTGCGGACTGAAAGGTCCCAGGTTCGATTCGGGTCAAGGGCATGTACCTTGGTTGCGGGCACATCCCCAGTGGGGGGTGTGCAAGAGGCAGCTGGTAGATGTTTCTCTCTCATCGACGTTTCTAGCTCTCTATCTCTCTCCCTCCTCTCTGTAAAAATATCAATAAAAAAAAAAAAAAAAATATATATATATATATATATATATATATATATATATATATATAGACACTCTAGGAATCTGTTTCTGGGCTGAATTCTTCTTCCAGCACTTCTGGAGGACGGGAATAACCCGAGTTCTGGGAGAGAGGCGAGGAGTTTGGATCCTCTGCTAGAATACAGCTTCTTCCCGCGGAGGAAGGGTACATTTCAGATCCTCCGTCCCACACACACAGGCCGATAGAACATGTTATTTGTCAGAAATAGACGCAGTTCTGACTCCCAGCCTGTGGCATGAGGACCGCTGATGTGTCATCGCAGGAGTGAGAGGACAGTGATCTTGTAATCGCCTACAAGTTACATAGAAACACAACTCGTCAGGGCTCCCTCCCATGGACACATGCCTGCCCTAGGTCAGAGATAGCAAAGCTCGCCATTGCTTCTAAGAGGCTCTCTCTCTGCCTCCGTAGCTACGCGGCGCTGCTCGCCGACTGGCCCGTGGTGGTCCTGGGCATGTGCACGGTGCTCATCGTGGTGTGCGCCTTGGTCGGAGTTCTGGTGCCGGAGCTTCCTGACTTCTCTGACCCGTTGCTGGTAAGGAAGGGGTTGGGCCGGGAGCGTTTATCCATTTCCTTTACCCCCAAACAATCTTTTAAAAAGAAAAAAAGAAGAAGTGTGTTAATACCGATTGCATTGTTACCTGGGATCGCATTTTTTAAAAACCTTCTCAAGCCATGGATGGGTCTACACGCCCCTTTCTGCCAATTAGAGATGTCTCTTCTCTGTCCTCAGATCCTTAAAGGGCAAGAAACATGCTCACTGCAAGACCCTGGAGAATCTGCTTACTATAAAAATTTTCATGAAGTCTTTAAACTGGCTTCTTCCCCCTCACCCTCCCCCACCCCAAACCCCAAAAAAGCTAAAGGAATTTCGGCAGTGCTAAGCGATAGCAAGGTCTGTTTTTAAGTAAAATCTGCTTTGGGGCAGAATAATGAGGAAAACGTGAGCAAGTTTAATGATATCCTCTTTTAAAACACTGTAGCATGCGCAATATAATTTAATTCGACCATAGTATGCTATATCCTAAAAGCAGGCATTTACGAAATGCTTAGTTTATACATTTGAAAGAGAAGCTTTAGATAAGTTTTTTCCCCCTTCCCCGAGACACGTGGCATACCAAAGAGCCAAAATGTTCTGCCACAGGAAATAGGTGGTCATTATCAGGTTAAGTCATCTTGGTTTAATACTGGAGTAAGGACCCTCTGTGTCTGTATTTTCGGTTAAAAGCTATTCATCACCTTGACATTGCTTTCCCAACCTGCTTAACTGCCCTCAGCCTGAAATGAAGTACACTAACAGGAATTTGTAACTTTTCGCCTTAGGGTTTTGAACCAAGAGGGACTACAATAGGCCAGAGACTGGTCACGTGGAATAACATGGTGAAAAATACAGGCTACAAAGCAACCTTAGCCAATTATCCCTTTAAATATGCAGATGAGCAAGCCAAAAGGTAATCATTTATTAACGTTCAGACAAAACATCGCTTAGTGGACTCTGCTTTGACCCTTTGCCTGAGCAAAAAGATAAAACGTGTGGCTCAAAGGCATGTTTAAATTGTCATTGTCTAGTACGGTTTTGTTGTACTGGGATGAGAAAGTGAGCATTTGGGGGCTTTTTTTTCTTTCAGAAGTGAGAAAATTAATGTTGGTTGCTTATATTAATCTTTCCAACTTAATTTGTACTGCTAAGTTGGCCATGACCTTGAGGATGTACTTGTTACAGGCACATTTCCGGGCCTTGAAATAGCTCGCCCTTTATTGAAGATCATCTTGCTCTGTTTCAGCCATCGGGACGACAGATGGTCGGACGATCATTACGAAAGAGAAAAGAGAGAAGTGGACTGGAACTTCCACAAAGACAGCTTTTTCTGCGATGTTCCGAGTGAGTGGTGTGTGTGGCTGGTCACCGCGCTCAGTGGCTCCCTGGCCATCTTGAGACTGAACACGATTAAAATCGGGACCGATAGACTGTGTGTCTGGTCTTAAAGGGGCTTTAGCTCCGTTAACTTGTCAGTGTACGTCTCTAGGTCAGTCGGCCACTGCTCTGGATTTGTTTACCTGTAACGAGAATGGATAAGGAAGACAGGATTGAGTTATATCTGATTTTGGACCCCACGGCTGTTTGAGATTGTGTTGCTGTCTCCATCTACCCAGTGAGATTCAGAGAAGCAATATGTTGCCCAAGGTCACCTGCTAGGTCTAACTGATTGATCCTCCCTTCCTCCAGTTGATGGACAGACGTAAACCCCACCTGCGGCCAGACATTCCTGAGCTCTGAACCACCAATCAGCACCTGCCAAATACCCTAAGCCCCCCGATTCCTAAGTCCCTCGGTCCCTAATCACCCATCAGCGTATGCTGAGTGCCCTAAGCCCCGTCCCCTATCCTTAAAGGTACCCCGGCCCTCGCTCCCTTCCGCCCCTCCCTCTGGAAGCAGCCGGCAGGGGTACCCTTCCCTCCAATAAAACCTGTGTCCTGCCATCCGGTCTCCGCACTTCTCTATTTAATCCATCACTAACACCACACCCAGCTCTAACGCCAAAGACCACGCCCTTCCCAGAATACCGCACGGCCTCCCTCACTCAGAAACATCTTTATCTGAGGGTGTTCTTCCACACAGTTTTCCTATCTGGTGAGCTCAGCCAGGACGTGGAGGGTCCGAGGTCCTGGCCAGCAGCCTGTACGTAGCGGACTGCATTTAGTGCCTTTAATGGACCGCCTGCCCTGCCTCCTCTCTGGTCAGCTGCCAGAGAAGAGAGCATCCTTACCGCTCATCCTCAGCAGTCCTTCGTGCGTCACTCCCGGTTGTGACATGCCATCGAGGGGACGTGTTGTGGGGTTAAGAGGGAGCCATTCAGTTACCTGCCAGCTGAACGTCCGTATGGACGGCTCTTCCTCATTGAGCCTGACCCGGACTTCATTTGTCATGTGACTGTGGTTTTTCAGGTGCAGAGTAGACAATGTCATAGGGTTGCGCTTTTTTTGTTTGTGTTTTGTTTTTGTTTTTTTAGCATTTTCTTCTGGAATCTGTCGAAGGGAAGGCTCTCCTGGTGGGAATGAATTGTCCGTGTGGCTTCCCAGTTTGAATCGCTTCTGAACGCCAAGTCTAACGAGTCCATGAATAATGTATGACCCTGTTTCTCTTCTTGTTTCCCATCCACAGGTGACCGCTATTCCCGAGTGGTGTTTACCTCAGCCGGCGGAGAGACGCTGTGGAACTTACCAGCAATTAAATCGATGTGCAATGTAGATAATTCAAGGGTATGTAAAGGGAAACTGAAGTAGGTTTGGCACCCGCGAGGCGATGGTTCTGAAACTCTCTCACTGCAGAGCTCTGTCTGAGTCCTTTCTGGGCTCACCTGCCGAGGAGAAAGCAGAGGCAGGCCACGTGGCTGTCTCTTAGATCCCAGGATCAAAGTGTCTCCTCCCCACCCTCCCTCGCTGTCTGCCCTAATAAAGGACTTTTTTCTTTCGCTCTCCTGTTCTTTGTCCTTGACAGTCTTTTGTATTCTCTCACTGCAGCTCTCCTTTCAGGATCACAGTTAAGACTCTTTTTTCCTTCCTTTGTCGTATTTCCTCTCCTAATCTGCTTTCATTGTTCACCACGCTTCCCCCTGAGGCAACTGTCAGCACCTTAATCACACAGCCCGATGCTGCCTTCCCATCGGGGGCCATTTCCCTGAGGCCTCAAAGGAAAATGCAGGGCCCCAGCCCAGGGAAGGGACATCAAAGACTAGAAAGTGGGATCTGTGCAAATGGCAGGAGTAACCTCTACACACCGAGCTCTTGAGAAGGCAGAGTGATGCTGGCAGCAGCACTTCCTGTCGTGGGCCCCAGAGCTGCCAGGCCAGAGCGGGCCAAGGCCGCCCCGGGCCTGGGAGAGCTGTCAGCTTCACGAGCTCAGAGGCAGCCTCTCCAGGTAGAAGCCTGTCCGAGCACAGTGACCAGCGGGAAGGAACTCACTGCATTCTTAGCGTCCCCCTAAGGTAAGGTGACCGGACGCCCCGCTTTTGGCGGGACAGTCCCGCTTTTGAACAATTTGTCCCGCGTCCCTCGGCGTTTTAAAACTGTCCCGATTTTTGGAAAGAAAATCCAAATTGTTAAAAATGGGGACTGTCCCGCCCAAAGCGGGACGTCCGGTCACTTACCCTAAGGCCACTGAAAGTGGAAGCGCTCGCAGTGCTAAGAGCCAGGCTGGCCATCGGTGCAATGGCCTGTTCTGACAACAGCGGTCCTGTGAGAATGGACGTGGCTCTCTCTTCAGGTTAACTAGTTGGCCCAGATCTCCTGACTCTCTTCGTCCTGAGAGGCGTTGATACCTTTTTTAAAGGAGCTTCCCCGTGGGCTGAGCCATCAGGATTTGCTGCGAGTGCCATCTTGTCTCTGTCCAGCTCCAAACAGATCAGAGGTGCAGACCATCAGTAAGCAGACAGCGGTTCCCTCTCAGCATCAGCATTCGTCCTCCACCTTTTCTTCTCTCCCAGGGCGATCAGTTCGGTATTTCTCCTTGTCACGGGCCCCACCTTCTTCTGTGGACAGTGAGGCCTGGGGGAGGGGATGGTAGAGTCTCAGCGATGAGTAGACTGCATGCCCCGTCCTTCACCTTACTCACAAGGTCACAAGTTCCGTGACCTTGGAACTTGTAGCCGGTACAAGCCAGGCTGTTAATGGATATTCACACCTTTGGTGAGAATAGCTCCTTCCCTTCCATGCCTCCTACTTCTCGTTATCCCACCTTCACAGTGGATCTGTAGACCTTCCTCCCCCCCGAAGATGCCTAGTGACTGAATTCACGCTGTTGATTAAGAGCTGATGTTTCTTGAGTGCTGCTGATGCCTGCCAGGACGTGTCCCAAACACTTAGCCAATTATTTCATTATTCATTGAATTATTATTCATCTGCACCGCAGTGTTATGAATTAAGTACTATTAGTGCCCGTTTCATTTATTTTTAAAATGTTTTTTATTGGTTTCAGAGAGAGGAAGGGAGAGAGAGAAACATTAGTCGGCTGCCTCCGGCACACCCCCTACTGGAGATCAAGCCCACAACCTAAGCATTGGCCCATAAGCATGACCTCCTGGCTCATGGGTCAGTGCTCAACCACTGAGCCCCACAAACTGGGCTTATTGCCCGTTTTATAGATGAGGAGAGTTCGCACCGGAGGGAAGTGGCAAATGGAGGATTTGAGCCTGGCCAGGTCTCACTCCAGCCTGTGCCTCTTGCTCCCCAAATGCAGGAGATACCCCATTTTTGTTCAGTTTTACTGTAGACGCCATTTCCCACTCAGAACCTCTGCGAGTCAGCATGGCCTGGAATAAGTCACCGTTAGAGCTAGCAGTTCATTCTATGTTGCCTTCAAAGACTCAAAAGCCAGAAAGCAGTGCTGAGGCACTAGAGCTTTCCTGAGTGGGACCAATACAATTTCCTATGTAACCCGCATGCAGACGGAGCAGATGGATAAAATCAGCATCAAGAGGTGGCTTCCCACAAGGCGTACAGAACAGACATGATAAACAAGTTGAATGCATGACACGAAGGGAAAGTAGCGGGAGGAAAATCATGAAGCGAAGGGTGAGATCTGACACGAAAGAACACAGACCCCGTAACCCCCCTGTACACTGCCCCATCAGGAGCTGCGGACTCGTCTGCACCCTCCCTGAGAGCCACCCCCAAAAGCAATTCATATGGGGGGGGGGAGGGAAGCCATAGAAATGGGGTAACCAGTTTGCTTCTAAAGGTCGCCGTGCTCCCCCTGACAGTAAGACAGGCGAGGACTGTCCCTCGCTCCTCACACCTCCATCAAAACGCAGGATGTGCTCCAGGTCCTCACCATGCTCACAGACACAGTATGGACCCCTAGCTGATTGGTAGACTCCTTCTCAGGCAGGTTGGAGGCAGGAACACAGTATAGCAGCAGCATTTCTACAAGAGCTGAGTGCAAGGAAATCTAAGTCTGTGGCCTTGTGGTTTCAATGCACTTGCAGAATGCAGACTCTAAAGGGATGTGTGCATTCTGCTTCTTCGAGAGTTTTTCTCCCCTGGGCTCCAAGTAAGGATGGATAGCTGTGTGGTCAGGTTTGTAATCTGTAGCAAGGACGCCCTGAGCGTTGTGGTCCGTTTGTGAAACTTGAGGAACGCACCCAAGACACGCATCTCAGTGAGGGGCCCAGCCAGTGTCAGACCCACACCAGCATGTGAATAGCTGGATCCCGGGGTCCCCAAATTCCGCCTCAGAGGGCATGCTTGTCATTTCATTTTATATTATTTTTTCATGCTTATCATTTTAACTTGCTAAATCAAAAGCTATTTTTGCCAAGGGCTAGTGCCTTTGCATTCTAATTTCTAACTCTGCCGTGAACAGAAAACCTTTCCCGTAGGGATAAGATATTCATGGCATCTGAACTCTCGGTTAGCAGGTCGGATTTCAGATTATTTCAGGTTGTTGTGGTGCCGTTTTTTAGTCTCCCCACTCTGGACCCTTTTCGGGCTTTTATTTGTTGCTGTGGTTTGAGCGAACTTTGTCCCAAGACTACCTGGCCATCTCCCTCCATCCTCTCCCCCCAGATGCTAGTGTTGTCCTTAAGCACTTGATGACTAACAGTATCAGGTTGAGTGGGACACACACCCAGATGACACAGAGCAGAAGAGCTTATAATTGTCGGTAGTTCGATCCTAGAAAACATCTGGTCCTCAGTGTCATATCCAGGGGACCGGATGCTTTCGTTGTCACCTGCCTGTGCCAACAGCACACCCAGTTCAACCCCAGCGGTCATTCCCACGACAAGCCCCAGACATACGAGTCCACAGCCCTGTCCTCCTCCCAATACCCTCCTCTCCCCCCACCCCCCGCAACAAAGAGCTTGGTTCCCGAGCTGTCAACTCCCTCCTGACAGTCTGTTCCTTAGCCTTTCTCAGGAGCCTCAGTTGACCCCACATCGTCCCAGTTCCTTTTCTGCGCTTTGACCCCGGGGCCCACCGGCAGTTGGTCGTTTGTTCGTGCCAAGAGTGAGCTTCTTTGTCTTGTCTCCGCTGGAAACCCTGTCCCTGCCTCTTAGTCTCTGCACATCGTCCGAGTCAGGACTCTGAGCGATCCGCTGATACGAGGGATTTGAGATTCGGTGCCTGGGACCCCGTTTTCCAGGGCAGCTTTCGTGGACAGCCAGGCCCTCCCCGGTGCTTATCCTAAGGAAGGCCGGGCGTCCTCGCCTTTTCTTTGCTCTGAGTCCCTTCAGTTGTCCAGTCACAAGGCCCGTGGGCACGTGGGGGAGGAGAGGCCACAGTCACTAGAATCTGGGATTGGGGGGTGACTTGCTTCCCTGTAGCTTTTTCTCAGCTCCTTAAAATAGCTCCAACGCAGCCGCTGGTTTTGAAAGTGAAGGTAGTATTTAAAACTCTGCTGCCTCCTCCTTGTTCTCTCTTCTTCCTTTGCCCGCTATTTTAAGCGGGCCCCACCCTGCCGCTGTCTGACCAGGAAATGTGCAGAGACACGTTTCAGCCACATAAGCAGCCTGGCTTTCCACAGCAGCCAGTTTGCGAATGCCTCCGATTAAGAGTTACAGTGCTCACGGGTTACAAGAAATCCCTCTCGTTCACTCCATTCCTGTTTTTATAAATGTCAAAGATTGTGAAATCATCCCCATGAATTTTTCCCCAAGATATGGCAGAAATATATGTCTTCGGCATGAAGACATACCTGCTTGCCAAGCCCCGCAGGGTCATATACACTGAGTGGCCAGATGATGATGATCGCTGAACGCATAATAATCTGGCCACTCCGTGAAAATCCTATATAATAAAAGGCTAATAGGCAAATTGTCTCCTCGACCAGGAGTTCAACCAGCAGGCAGGCTGGCTAACTGCCCATGTTTCCTCACCCTGGCCAGGCTGATGGACCCCACCCATACACGAATTCATGTACTGGGCCTCTAACATATATATATATATATAGTGTATATATATATATATATACACACTAAGTGGCTATTATGCGTTCAGAGATCATAAATCTGGCCACTCAGTGTATAACGGGGTGTTAGCTGGCTGAATCACTCCACCAAGTTAGGGCTGCTGTCCACACACTTTCCTCCACCTGAAAGCAGGTTCACACAGACCCTTCCACATAACACGGTGTTCCTTCTCACACTGAGTTAGAATTACTGATTTCTGCTCTGATTCCCCGGTTGCTCGTGCGTGACTTGAGAGCAAGGACCACTGTGCTGTATTCATCTGGTATAGGCGTCAGGAACCTCTTTTATTCTGAACAGAGGGCGGATGGACCGTACGGCCTCACTCCTGACCACCTATCACTCCTGACCACCTAGGCCAGTGGTCTGTAAACTCATGAGTCCACAGAACTAACTATCAACAGCACAACGATCAACATTTCTTTTGAGAGCCCAATTTTTTAAACGTAAACTTCTTCTTTCGCCACTGCTTCAACATAGACTCCCCCAGGCTGTGGTATTTCGTGGAAGAGCCACACTCAAGGGGCCAAAGAGCCGCATGTGGCTCTCGAGCCGCAGTGGCCTAGGCAGCTCCTTGTACGCTATTCCTTTAGACTCAGGGCCTCAGCTTCCAGTCCCGGGTAAGTGTACTGTCGCGACGTCTCAGCGCTGTCCTTATTTCTGACCCTGCATGCGCCCTCCAGCTGGCTTTCCAAGGTGGTCCATCCGCCAGCGCTGCCTTGGCATCAGGATCACCGCTCCGGAGGCTGCTGGCGTTGGTTGTTGATAGTGGCCGTCCACATGGTGTTCACTGGTCCAACATTTTCATCTTTGGAGGCCCTCGTGGAAAACAACAACCCTGCTCATATTTGTGAAGGTCGTTCAAGATCAGGATTCTGTGCTGCTTCCCCAGCTTCAGCTGGCAACCTGCTCCCTTTATCTTTCCACTCGTCACTTCATCCGCTCAAACAGGCTCCTTCTGGCAGGTCCCGGGTTTCACGATGGGCGCCATTTGTCTTTCTCCACCTGAAAGCAGTCAGACATCAGGGCTGCATTGCTTCTCAGCTCCCCAGGCTGAGTCTGGAGGCCTGCGGGTTCTCTCTGTAGGGAGAGAGCTGATTAGCTGCCACCACGCTCGGAGGGTACTGTCCCGGAGTTCCCTGGTGTCTGCTGGGCAGCCGCTTCCCCTGACAGCCTGTGTGACTGTCTTCTCCTGGAAGCAGCAAATACGAATTATCCTGTTTGGTGAAATGTCAAGTCGTTATCGCTCTTCGGAAGTGAACTTAAAAATGAGGGCTTTGTTAAAATAAACATTAATTTAGGACACTTGAATGATAACCTTTTTGGATTTTTTTTTAACCCCCGACAGATTATTTTATTTTATTTTATATATTTTTATTGATTTCAGAGAGGAAGGGAGAGAGATAGAAACATCAATGATGAGAATCATTGATTGGTTGCCACCTGCATGCCCCTTACTGGGGATTGGATTGAGCCTGGAACTCAGGCATGTGTCCTTGACCAGAATCGAACCTGGGATCCTTTAGTCCACAGGCCAACGTTCTATCCATTGAGCCAAACCAGCTAGGGCCAGAGTATCCTTAAAAACAACAACTTTTTATTATGGAAATTTCCATACCAATGCAGAAGTAGAATAACAGAATAATTCCTCACGTGGAAGTCTCCCAACAACACCAGTTCCCAGTACGTGGCCAGTTTATTTTATTGTAGTCCCAATGAAATACAGTTGACCTTGAACGGCTTGGGGGGTTGGGGTGCCAACCTTCTGTGCTGTCAGAAATCCACAGAGAACTTTTGACTCCCCAAAAGCTTAACTGCGTATCTTGACGGCCAGGACTTAGGTTCTGAGTGACTTGTTCTTCACTAAGTTTCGGTTCCAAAGAGGTGATTTGTGCCAACATGTCCTCCCCTGGGAGAAGGCATTTCATGCATGATTGGCAAAACCCACTTTAATAAAGATCAAGGTGGGTTTAATAAAAAATATTCACACCCTTTTTTTTTTTTTTTAATGCTTTTATTGACTTCCAAGAGGAAGGGAAAGGGAGAGAAAGAAACATCCATGATGAGAGAGAGTCATTGATGGGCTGTCTCCTACACGCCCCCTACAGGGTGTGTAAGGAGCCTGTAAGCCGGGCATGTGCCCTGACCAGGAATCGAACCATGACCGCCTGGTTCCTAGGTCGACGCTTAATCACTGAGCCACCCCAGCCGGTGGCTTCCTGATTCACTGACAGTTTTCTAGGGGATGGCATGTTGCCTTCATCACGTCAATATGCCTTCATCACCCAACATTTCACACTGATAACCAGAAACTTTGGGCAAAGCCACAGATTGGTGTCATGAATCAATGGGACCATTGTCCTCTTAACTGATCCTGTAGCTATACATGCCAACCACCTTATTGCTTTTTAGAGGGACTCTGAAAGGGCTTGTTTGCCCAAGAGGTGTTAATGTCCTCCCCTTTCTGAGACCACACCAGCACTGGTTGGAGTTGGTTCACACTTGCCCGTCATCCCCATGAAGTACTTTGTTGTTCAGAGTGAAGTAGCCTCGTGAGGATTTGGCCACAGCGGGATTCTGGGGGGAAGTCACACTGGGCATCCACACGAGAATGGCTTTTACCTTCTGTAAATCCCTGGCCCACCTTAACCCAGACTTTTGAGCAACCTGTCTATTTTATTTTATTTATTTATTTAAAATGTTTTTATTGATTTCAGAGAGGAAGAGAGAGAGAGAGAAACATCATCGATACGAGAGAATCACGGATCAGCTGCCTCCTGTACGCCCCACACTGTGGCTCATGCCTACAACTCAGGGAACCGTGACCTCCCGGTTCATAGGTCGATGCCCGACCCCTGAGCTATGCTTACCCCGGTGAGCGACCCCGTTTTAAATGCCAGCCCTCCGCGTGTCTGTCTCTGCAGATCAGGGCGCACCCCCAGTTCAGCGACCTCTGCCAGAGGACCACGGCCGCCTCCTGCTGCCCCAGCTGGACGCTGGGCAACTACATCGCCATCCTGAACAACCGCTCGTCCTGCCAGAAGATCGTGGAGCGGGACGTGGCCCACACGCTGAAGCTGCTCCGCGCCTGCGCCAAGCACTACCAGAACGGCACGCTGGAGCCCGACTGCTGGGACGCGGCGGCCCGCAGGAAGGACCAGCTCAAGTGCGCCCACGTGCCGCGCAAGTGCACCAAGTACAACGCCGTCTACCAGATCCTGCACTACCTGGTGGACAAGGACTTCCTGGCCCCGAGGCCGGCCGACCACGCCGCGCCCGCCCTCAAGTACAGCATGCTCTTCTCGCCCACCGAGAAGGGCGAGAGCATGATGGGCATCTACCTGGACAACTTCGAGCGCTGGAACGCGTCCGACGGCGTCACGACCGTGGCGGGCATCGAGTTCGGCATCAAGCACAGCCTGTTCCAGGACTACCTGCTGATGGACACGGTGTACCCCGCCATCGCCATCGTCATCGTCCTGCTGGTCATGTGCGTGTACACGCGCTCGGCGTTCATCACGCTCATGACCATGTTCGCCGTCATCAGCTCCCTGATCGTCGCCTACTTCCTCTACCGCGTGGTGTTCAACTTCGAGTTCTTCCCCTTCATGAACCTCACGGCGCTCGTCATCCTCGTGGGCATCGGGGCGGACGACGCCTTCGTGCTGTGCGACGTGTGGAACCACACCAAGTCCGACAAGCCGCAGGCCGACACGGCGGAGGCGGTGGGCGTCACTCTGCGGCACGCCGCGCTGTCCATGTTCGTCACCAGCTTCACCACGGCCGCCGCCTTCTACGCCAACTACGTGAGCAACATCACGGCCATCCGCTGCTTCGGCGTGTACGCGGGCACCGCCATCCTGGTCAACTACCTGCTCATGGTCACCTGGCTGCCCGCCGTGGTGGTGCTGCACGAGCGGTACCTCCTCAACGTGTTCCCCTGCTCCCGGGGGCCCCGGCCGCAGGCGTACCCGGGCAAGGGCTGCTGGGCCGCGGCGAGCCGGGCGGGCCGCCGGGCCCTGCTGGCCGCGTCCGAGGCCTCGCGCATCTTCTTCGAGAAGGTGCTGCCCTGCATCGTCATCAAGTTCCGCTACCTCTGGCTCTTCTGGTTCCTCGCCCTGACCGTGGGGGGCGCCTACATCGTGTGCGTGAACCCCAAGATGAAGCTGCCCTCCCTGGAGCTGGCCGAGTTCCAGGTGTTCCGGGCGTCCCACCCCTTCGAGCGCTACGACGCGGAGCACAAGAAGCTCTTCATGTTCGAGCGCGTGCGCCACGGCGAGGAGCTGCACATGCCCATCACGGTGATCTGGGGCGTGTCCCCCGAGGACAACGGCAACCCGCTGAACCCCAAGAGCAAGGGCCGGCTGACCCTCGACAGCAGCTTCAACATCGCCAGCCCCGCGTCCCAGGTGTGGATCCTGCGCTTCTGCCAGAAGCTGCGGAACCAGACGTTCTTCCACCAGACGGACGAGCAGGACTTCACCAGCTGCTTCATCGAGACGTTCAAGCGCTGGATGGAGAACCAGGACTGCGACGAGCCGGCCCTGTACCCGTGCTGCAGCCGCTGGAGCTTCCCCTACAAGCAGGAGGTGTTCGAGCTGTGCATCAAGCGGGCCATCATGGAGCTGGAGCGCAGCACGGGCTACCACCTGGACAGCAAGACGCCGGGGCCCCGCTTCGACATCAACGACACCATCCGGGCCGTGGTCCTGGAGTTCCCGAGCACCTACCTCTTCACGCTGGCCTACGAGAAGATGCACCAGTTCTACCGCGAGGTGGACGCCTGGATCTCCCGCGAGCTGAGCTCGGCCCCCGAGGGCCTGGGCAACGGCTGGTTCGTCAGCAACCTGGAGTTCTACGACCTGCAGGACAGCCTCTCGGACGGCACGCTGGTGGCCATGGGGCTGTCCGTGGCCGTGGCCTTCAGCGTGATGCTGCTCACGACGTGGAACGTGATCATCAGCCTGTACGCCATCGCGTCCATCGCCGGCACCATCTTCGTCACGGTGGGCTCCCTGGTCCTGCTGGGCTGGGAGCTGAACGTGCTGGAGTCCGTCACCATCTCGGTGGCCGTGGGCCTGTCGGTGGACTTCGCCGTCCACTACGGGGTGGCGTACCGCCTGGCCCCGGACGCCGACCGGGAGGGGAAGGTGGTCTTCTCCCTGAGCCGCATGGGCTCCGCCATCGCCATGGCCGCCCTCACCACCTTCGTGGCCGGCGCCATGATGATGCCGTCCACCGTGCTGGCCTACACGCAGCTGGGCACCTTCATGATGCTCATCATGTGCGTCAGCTGGGCCTTCGCCACCTTCTTCTTCCAGTGCCTCTGCCGCTGCCTCGGGCCGCAGGGCGCCTGCGGCCAGATCCCGCTGCCCCGGAGGCTCCGGTGCAGGGCCTTCTCCCGCCGCCACCGCCTGCCCGCGAGCCCGCCGGACAAGGGTCCGAGCAAAGCGCACGGCCTGAGCGCCTACCAGGCGGGCCCCCGGGGCCAGAAGCCCGGCGCCGAGCAGGAGTTCTGTGAGCTGGAGCCTCTGGCGTCCTCCCCCCCCAGCGGCCCCGCCTCCGAGAAGGCCGCCTACGAGGACGCCCACGTCTGCCCCGAGTTCCCCACCGGCCCGGCCAAGAGCGCGGGGGTGCCCGTGCCCGCGGCTTACCCCGGCGAGCCGGGCCAGGGCGCCAGGAGCGAGCCGAGCCCCGCCCTGCTGCAGCCAGCGCTGGACCAGCGCACCCTGCGGCACTTCCTCTCTCTGAGCCAGAGGTGCAGTTGCCCCAGTGCCTACAGACACCTGCAGTACGGCCCGCCCCCTTGCCAGCAGGTGGGGGACGGCCTGTGCCACCAGTGTGCCCGCGCCACCGCCACCGGCAGCTTTGTGCACGTGCAGAACGGCGTGGCCCCTCTGCCCCCCGTGGCGCACCCCGTCCCACACATTCACCACTGCCCCTGCCTGCAGGGCAGAGCGCCCCCGCCCCGCAGCTGCTGCCTCCACCCCGGGCAGCACACGCAGGCCCAGGACACCGCGGGCAGGGCCAGTGGGCACAGCGGGCAGGGCCTGGAGGTGGCCGAGCTGGCAGCTCTTGTCCGCAGGAGCGCGGGGTCCTCGCCAAAAGCAGGTGACCCTGAGGACAGCCAGAGGGGGCCCGGTCCCCACGGAGACGCAGGGACCGCGGAGGGCGGGCCGGGGGCCGAGGACAGGGACTCCGGGTCGCCGGGGCAGCCCGACGGGGCGGACAGGGGCGCCGAGCCCTGCTCGCCACAGACCGGCGTCCCCGTGAACTCCGAACACCTACCTCCCAACGAACCCACGTTTCTATCGAACCGTTTGGCGGGGGAGGCCGGGTGCGCGGCCTGCCCGCCTCGCGCCCAGGGCTACGGCAGGGCGGCGCGGGCGCGGTGCGGGGCCGCGCACTGCCGGGTGCCCGCCTTCGAGGCCGCCGTGCCCGCCGTCTTAGCGCACGCGGAACTTTCCGGCGAGAGTCTGTTAATAAAAACACTTTAATAAATGCAGTATTAAATCCTGAATCCCGGCCCGGCGCCTCGATCAGTTCCTTTGAAGGGGAAATGAGACCCAGGAGGTCAGAGGAGGAGCCACATGTGCAGGAAGAAGGTTCCCCTTTGTTCCAGGTCCCGGGGAGATGGGTATTCCGTAAGAGGTGGTGGCAGGTCTGGTTTATGTTTTCAAAAAGTCCAGTTGTTTTTCACCTGAATCCGGTTTGAAAAAGAAGGGTTGCCAAGCAGTGAGCCAGCGCGGAGTGTGAGTTACGTGGAAGTTTCCTTTCTCCGGGAACCCCACCTGCCTGGGGGGCTCCTCTGGTGCCCGTGGGTGTCCGCAGTGAGGACATGTGATTGCACCTCTGATGTGGGTTTTAGGGAAAGCACCTTCTGCCGGAGTTCAGGAAGTCTAACCCTCGGCATCCTGCCTTCAGTTCGGTCCTCTGAAGAAAACTGGTGGAGGTATTTCTAAATATCACGCTCCCCCACAAAAGTTGCATTTGTTATTTTCTAGGAAGAGTTTTCCAAATTGGATCCGCCTCTTCTTCGGGGCTTTCCTAAAAGAGTTGCAGGGGGTCTCATGGTGCCCGGTCTCCGAGCCACCTCCATCCACCAAACCACGTGTCTAGGTAGCTTTTCAGCATTTGCTTGAATACTTCCGACACCTTAATTCTTTGTCCCTGGGCAGCGCAATGTCACTATTCCTAACTGCATTGTCCTAGAGAATTTGATCAAAGATAATAGATTAGCCGAAACCGGTTTGGCTCAGTGGATAGAGTGGCAGCCTGCGGACTGAAAGGTCCTAGGTTCAATTCCGGTCAAGGGCATGTACCTTGGTTGTGAGCACATCCCCAGTAGGGAGTGTGCAAGAGGCGGCTGATCGATGTTTCTCTCTCATCGATGTTTCTAGCTCTCTATCCCTCTCCCTTCCTCTCTGTAAAAAAGAAAGAAAAAAGATAATAGATTAAATGATAAGAGAAAAGGGACCTTTCACTGTGAAATATCTGTAACTTGGAGGGTATTTGCTTAGTGAAGGAGTTCCAGGCTGTTCTGAGGTTGGGGTCCCCGTGACCAAAGTCATTCCTGACTTCCCTGCAGGCTCACCTTTTAATCCCCGGCTGATTGGGAAGTGGGCTGGGCCCAGAGTGGGAAGCTTGTGGCCGGGAAGAGCTGTATTGTTTGAAAGAAGCTACCCCACTTCCCCTTGCCTGTAATTGCTGTGACATGCACATCCCTCCCCCAAGACAATCTTCTTCAAAGTTACACTGAGCTGCTCTGATATTAAATTCCATCGCCATAACATATGCCCCAGCCTCCATCCCTCTAACGTTTGGAACTTGGTGTCACGGGCAATAGGCAGAGTCGTTTTACAAACAGGGTCTTACGGACGATTCAACGTTCTCGATCCACGTTGGTTCACATGGAAACCATCTCTCGCCAAGCAGTCAGGACTGTTTCGGAAGGAAACATGAGGAAACAATGACTTTGAAAACAGCTGTCTTTTCTCTTAAAAGAGGAAGGTCATGTGAGGAGAAACTAATGAAGGCCAGGTTACAAAAATTCAAGGATTCAATTGAGATTGCCTCTCATTGGATTCAGGCATAGCCAGGAGAGTAGAAATTTATTGAAATCATGAGGTTTTTGTTTGTTTGTTTGTTTGTTTTTAAAGCAGAGGTAACTATCACGTTCACATATTCTTTTCTGCACAGAGGATTTTTTCCGTAATGCTTGCTGGCATTTAGTTTTATCTCCAGCTGCTACACTAATCCATGGAATCTATGATGGGGGTTTTTTGTTGTGAAAACGACCACTTTCATTAATGTTTGATTTTTATACACTAGGAGGTTTTATATCTTTGCATTCAATAGAAAAAGAGACGTCCTAACTGGCTTGGCTCAGTGGCTAGAGCGTCGGCCTGCAGACTGAAGGGTCGATTCCAGTCAAGGGCATGTACCTTGGTTGCCAGCACAGCCCCAGTAGGGGGGATGCAGAAGGCAGCTGATCGATGGTTCTCTCTCATCGATGTTTCTAGCTCTCTCTCCCTCTCCCTACCTCTCTGAGAAAAATCAGTAAAATATATTTTAAAAGAAAAAAAGAAAAGGCATGAATATCCATAGTTGACTAGTGGAATCTTGTACCTTTTGCTCTTGACAGTGTATTAACTGCCCTGATTTTGGATTGTTTGGTGGAATTTGTGTGTGTGTCTTCTCATGAGCTTAAGAAACTAGCGTGCACACCCAAGGACAACTCGCCAAATGACAGGATCAACCGTTTTCCTGGACTTCCCTGAGCCCTCATTTGCAGCATGAGCGTGCCCACACGCCGGCCAGCTAGGTCACAGCCTGCTAGCTCAGCAGACAGTCCTGAGCGTGGGGTGCGAAGCACCGTTCTAACTGCAGGGCGGGCAGGGGAAGAAAGCAATGATGTTCTGCCTTCAGCAGTCCATACAAAAAAGGGACCTCCTAGAACGGACATCTTCAAGAGTGTCTTTTAGGCCATCTTGAGGCCCATAGAATTTTAATCTTGAATCAGTCAAGTCACCCCAGCCAGTGTGGCTCAGTGGTTGAGCATTGACCTATGAACTGGGAGGCCACAGCTCGATTCCCAGTCAGGGCACATGTCTGGGTTGCAGGCTCCATCCCCAGTAGGGGGCGTGCAGGAGGCAGCTGATTGATGATTCATATTATTGATGTTTCTCCCTCCCTCCTCCTTTTCTCTCTGAAATCAACAACTAATATATATATTAAAGACGATTAGTCAATGGCCAGGTTAAGTGCATCTCGGTAGAGCATATATCTTCCCCTGAGGGGGTTGAAGCCAATATTGGAAACACCAGTCAGCACCCTAAGATGCAATCCATTTCTTAACTTGTTGCTTATTATTCATGACTCTGTGATATCCCCGATGCTGTCACTATCACAGTGAATCAAGTTACACTTCGTATACTCCAACCAACTGGAATAGCCAAACTTCGATGTTTATCATCGTATTTTTTTTTTTTTTCACAAAGCTTTCTGTGCTGTCACTACATCTTCCTAAGCAGCGAAGGAAGTGCAGGTTATTTCCGGCGAGAGGTTTGTTGCTGTTGTTTTCACGAGTAAGATTCTTATAAAGGAGCTGGCTTGGCCTTGAGACAAAGTGACCATCAGGATCATTTGCTCAACCTCTGCCCACTCATTGGACCGTTCTGGTCAGTGATCTGGACTTTCGATTTCCACTCTTTAAAGGAGAAAGGGTTTGCTGAGTAAATCAATCATCTAAACGAGATTACAAGGAGGCTGCTTGCCTGCCTAAGAAATCAAACTTCCGAAGGTCACACCACGACGTGAGTGCAGTATTTTTGGCAGCAGAATGTGACCCGTAAGATCTCCCTGGTAAAGAATGGTCCCTGTAGGGCCGCTGTCTGGCCAACGATTCTCTCTCATCACATGTTTCTCTCCCTTCCTCTCTGAAATCAATACAAGTATATTTTAAAATAATAATAAGAACCATGGGCTCTGATTGGCACACAGGGGGACATTTCCAATCATAGTGATTACACAGCCCTTAGCTAGGTATCTACAGGTTATCAGAGAGTTGAGCAGAGGTGAGAAAAGCCAACTTCGAGACCAAACTTGCTCCTTCCCCTTAATCCTCTAAATCAGTGGTTCTCGATCTTTCTAAATGCCGTGACCCTTTAATGCAGCTCCTCACGGGGTGGCGACCCCCGACCATAACATTATTTTCGTTGCTATTTCATCACTGTCATTTTGCTAGTGAATGAATCATAATGTTTCTGTGTTTTCCGATGGTCTGAGGCTCTGCAGCAGCGGCTGTCAACCTGTGGGTCTTTGGCCCCTTGAGTGTGGCTCCACGTGGCTCTTGAGCCGTGATTTGCTGACCCCGGGTCTATGTCATTAGCCCCTTTTCATCAACGAGCCAGTGGATCCCTTAAACAACCTTAGGCAAGAAGTCAGCAATAGTGTCCCTGTTTTAGGGATGTGCACACACTGAGGAGCAGAAAAATCAGGAGACACTCATTAGGCCACCCGGCCACAGGCGCTGGCTGGGGAATGACCTCCCTGAGACCCAGGCTCAGCTGGGGTTCACACCGCCTGGGGGGCCGGCCCTGGGCTCTCCATCCCCCTTAACCACAGGAGGGCGTTTGGAGGTCCGACTCCCCAAGGAAGACCAGGGGAGCCGGGTCTTAAGGGGAAAAACCCGAGTTAGGTTCGCACCTGCGGGCTGCGTGTGGGAGGGGCTGGGCCCACGGCCCCAGCTGAGACCCGTCTGCGCCTTAAACGAGGCTCAGGACCCAGGACCCGTTACACGCGGAGGCGGGGTTGTTTGTCCTCGAGCAAAGCGTTGTTGGCGCAAAAATAAAGACGGAGACGCCAGGATCGGATGAATGCTGAGCGGGAGAGGTTAGCTGTCCAGCTGGAAACCCAGGGAGCAGGCGAGGCTCCGAGGGACCAGGTCGGAGGCGGAGAGTGAGGTAGGAGGTCTGTTAGGCCCGCGGCCTGCGGCCTGTCTCGGTGGCATGAGCTTGTGGTGGGAGCCGGCGTCTGCTGGTGCAGGAGCCTGGCTGATGGTGGCATTGGGGTCCGTGGGGTTGGCCTCTGCTGTGTCCAAGGGTGTGGGGAGGGGTGCCAGGCCGTGAGCGGGCGCCTGGCAGGCAGGTCTGCCGAGGCACCTGGCTGGGGGGCCAGCGGCTTGGTTCGTTTCTTGTTTGGCTTCCCGGCAAGCTCAGAGGCTGGGCCCACGGACGGGGAGCGGGGGCTGCCGTCTGCGGACAGCAGTGTGGCCGGGTCCAGAGGCTTTTCCGGGCGAGGGGCTGCCCACCGCCCGCAGGCCAGGCCTCCTTGCCTCCTCACCCACTGGCCTTTCTCCCGGGATCCCCTCCGTCCGCCTTGCTCGCTGCCAGGCTGAGGGCCCGTGGCGCCCCCCCCTCACCTCCCGGGAGAAAGGCCAGCCTGGACGTGGCTGCCGTCGGGGTCGGCAGGAAGCGGGCCGGGTGTAGGGAGAGGA